TTTTTTTGTTGAATAAATATTTATCCCCCCCCACTTAGGTTGTTTTTGTTTTGTTTTTTTTTTGTTTTTGTCACGTATAAATATGTGTTTCTCTTTGCCTCGTTAGCCAAACTTTCCCTGACGATCCGTTTAGGTGAAACCTAAGTAGGTTTGTCTGGCTCACTAGGTATCTATATATATATATATATATATATATATATATATATATATATATATATATATATATATATATATGTGTGTGTGTCTGATTGAATAAATTACAGACATTATATCTGCTAATTTTCAAGATTATCTTCAGGGGTGCAAGTTGTACAAAACTATATGTTGTTCATTAGTATAAGTATTTATATAAGGATGTGCGTTTTTTCAATTACCTTAATTTTTTCATTATGCTTTTAAACGCAAATCGGTTGACAATGTGCTGAGCGTTCATTAGAACGTGAAAGAATTATCCATTATGGAATTTTTTCTTGAGAGAAGATCGAAAGTATTTGGGAAATGAAAATAAAAGAAATTTAAACAGCTACAGCACATTTCTCTCATCCTTTAATATCAATTCACCGAAGGTTATTCGTGAGTATGAAAGGATTTTGTTAAAAATTAGCAGACATAATGTCTGCAATTTATTCAATCAGACATGCCTAAAAGAGAATTTGCTGCTTAAATACACACACACACACACACACACACATATATATATATATTCACAAGATATGTTTAATTTTTTAATTGTATTTTTCCAATTTTCAAATAAGATGTTGCACATCGGGATCAAAATTGTGGATAAACTGTCCAATTTTTGTTCGCACACACACACACACACACACACACACACACACACACACACACATATATATATATATATATATATATATATATATATATATATATATATATATGTGTGTGTGCGTGATGGATAACAAGTCAGAAGGAGATATGGGAATTCGGGTCAAGTTCGTTACATCCGCTTACGCGCAAATAGACTTGGGAAAAGTATGAATCCATATCTTCTCCCTCCATCTATGGATTAAATAGATGAACAAAGTTTAGCCTTAATTGGCAACCAATGCAGAAGAAGGACAATTCTGAATTCAAAATATGACAAGGGCTGTTTGAGAACCTCATGGCACACTATATGCACCAATTCCCTAAATTCATTTCTTCCGAATACTGTGGAGGAATCTGCACAAGCCTTAACCACTATAATCTTATTTGCTAGCGATATTTTCCAGTTAGGAATATTGTATCGTACTTATTAACTCGATCCCAAACATTGAGAGAAAGATTTCGTTAGAAACAACAAAAAAAGTATTCAACTGTTACATGACATATGTCCTCCTGTATGGCAGTGAATGCTCGACAATCTCCTCAAAGATGAGGAAGAGACCTGAAGCAACAGAAATGTGGTTCCACAGAAAGATGGTGAGGATACCATGGTTCGAACATATAAGCAACGACGCGGTTTTGGAAAAAATGGAAACAAAAAGGAAACTTATACTTAACATCAGGAAAAGGCAGTTGAAATTCCTGGGCCACGAAATGAGGAAGGAGTGCTTGGAGAACCTGATACTCACAGGACAGATTGGGAAACAGAGTGTCAGAGGAAAACAACACGTAACATACTTGATGAGCTTGGATAGTATTACAGGGTTTGTGAGAAATAATAAAAAGACAAAATTTATTAAAAGCGACCAGGGACAGGAAGATGTGGAGAGCCATGATCGCCTACGTCCTGAAGGGACACGGCACACAAAAGAAGATACTTTGTAACTAGCATTTCTTTTATTAGGTAAATATGTATGTAAATAAAGAAAGGTATATATGTTGACCGTTTCGACTCCCTAACGAGAACAACATGATATAACAAAACAACAAGAATGAATGCTATGGTCACATTTTAGATGAAGAGGAGACTTGAAACAACAGAAATGTGTTTCTACAGAAAGATGCTGAGGATACCAAGAACTGAACATGTAGGCAATGACGAGGTTTTGAAAAAAAAAATGGAAGCAAAAAGAAAACTTATTCTTAATATTAGGAAGAGGTACTTCAAATTTCTGGAGAACGTAATGAGGAAGGACGGCTTGGAAAATCTGATACTCACAAGACAGTGAGAAAAAGAGGGAGAGAGGAAAGCAGCGCGTAACATACTTGATAGCTTGAGTAAATAGATGGTAGAACAGTGTTTGGAAGAAATAACAAAAAATAAAACTACCAGGGACAGGAAGACGTGGAGGGCCATGATTGTTGGAATTTTTGGGTACCCTGTAAGTACCAGTGAGCTAGCCAAAATGAGGCGACTCATTTTATAGTTCACCAATAGAAGGGTTAACCAATCAGAAAGTTCAAAATATTCAATCCGACGTGTATAAAAGCAGCCATTTTGTTTTTTCTCCCAAAATATTTTCACTGCCAACCTGATATCGAAGACTTAAAGAATTACTTAGCAGCTGCTATTTTCTCCGAATCTTCACTGCCAACCTCTGATATTGAGCACATTACGGACTTCACTGGATTCTATATTCAAAGACTATGGCAAAAATGGTTAACAACAATGATCGCCCACGCCCTGAAGGGACACGGCACATAATACAAGCAAAAAATGAATAGATTAACAATGACTGTAATTGGCAATAAAAATCAAAAGTTTTATATCAATGAAGGAATGTTTATTTACGTAAGAAAAATACAAAAAGTTTTAATCGATAAAAAAAGTACATAATTAAACCTGCTGCTACATCAGCCTTTGTAATAAGACGGTTAGTAAGTTAAGTAAATGTGTATGCATTTTAAATAAAAAAGAGTATATCCGTCGATCGTTTTAACTCCCTAACGAGAAGAAAAAGCGATAAGAGAATAGCAGGACTGAATGTTACGGTCGTATTTTAGTATGGCTGATGTGAGACAATGCAAAACAAATTAAGACGTTTCAATTCCTATCCAGGCGGATATGCAATATAGATGACCCTGTTCTGGTATCTCGTCTACAGTCGCTCTCTCACAGACGCGCCGTCGCCTCTCTCTGTCTTTTTTACAAATACTTTCATGGTAATTGCTCCGAGGAGCTGCATTCGCTGGTTCACAGAGATCATGAATTCAAGCGCCCTACGAGACTGGCATCCCGCTCTCACCCTTTTCACTGTCGAAACTACTAAATGTAGCCATCTCTTCTACTCCAATAACTTCATGTCTCGCACCTCTCGCCTGTGGAACTCCCTTCCCTATTCTTGTTTCCCTGTGAGCTATAATTTCCAACCATTCAAATGTAATGTCAATCGACATCTCCAGTTGCCTTGATCTATCCATTATCCTCCTCATCCTTTCCTCTATCACTCCTATCTGATCTTGCTCCAAATCTTCTGTAACTCCTTGCGTCCTAGTGGCTTCACGCCTTGCTTGGGGTGAAACGCTTAAAAAAAACCCCCAAAAAATGCTTTTTGTTAATGTCTGTATTATCGTAACAAATCGATGCTTATGAAGTTTTATTTTACTAATTCAGCTTCAGCACTGAAAAAACGTTTATTTTATTGTGATGGATGGTTAAAAGCATGAGGGGAGATGGGATGTATCTATTTTATTACCACACTGTCCACACTTATGGAAGATATAGTGCCAGAGGCAATATTGTATTGGTCCCTGATAGAAGGGGGATTAATTGTTTGGATTATTTATTCTGAGCAGCCTTTTGATTTGTCTCTTCGTGGGTAGCCGAGAGGTCTTTGTATTTGAAGGTACCACGAAAATGTAAAGAAAAACTTCCTCTATATACACATTAATAGATCTGATTGGCCATAATAAAACAAGTTTATTTCCGTCAAACTTTGACGGCGTTTAGAAAGCAGGGGAGATAACTTGTTAGTGTAAATGCAAAGTATTGTACATGAACTTCATATGGAAAACGATCATTTTTACTTCAATAACGAAAATACGATAGTATATCAGAATCACAGGACTGAATGTTACGGTACTTTTAAATATTGTTTGTATGAGATCAGACAAAACATACCAGAACAAAGTCAGGATGATTGTCTCCGTTGGTAGTTGCATAATTAATTTACGCCTCAACTTGCTAAACGTCATCAACTCGGTTTGTTTTCCTTGATTTGAATTCGTAAACGTTTCTAGCTTCTTTGCACTGTTTTTACGCAAATTAAGGAGGGATCCAGACTGGCAACTACTAGTCGAAATATTTCCATAAAAATAAAACATTCGTTGGAACTACATGTTTTTTCTTTTAATTAAAACATACAAGAATTGTTTCAATTCTGCTCCAGGAATGAACTGCTTTTTCTGTTGACCATTATTGTGTAATCATAATTTCATAGCCGAAAATGATCGCCAATTTACATTATTACTTAAGATTTTGTTCTTAACAGTAGTTTAATTTGTCTGCATGTAGGGAAAAGGCACTAAGTACTGAGTAAGTCTTTGCTGTTTAAAGAATTTAGGCGAATAAAAAGTTCCTATTTTTATAGACATTAATTTTCTAGAATTTATGCTCACTTACATTTAGGTGTTTTAAAAAAAGGTGACGAAAATTTGTTACTATTGGGTTGATCAATAAGTTCGCTCACTTTATTAGTAGAAAATTTACTTATATACTGGATAACTCAATATATGTAATTAATTTTGTTTAATTTTTTCCCTTACACAAAATACCGTACATACTAGTGTGACGTGTAATGTTCATTTTAAATACAGCTGTACTTTTTGACTACAGTAAATGGATATATAGTTTGGTCAACAGCTTACTTACGCTAATTCTCGTGGATGAGACAACCCTCTTAAAATTAACTTCAAAATTCGGTCTCCAAAAGTCGCATGATACGCGAGTATATACGGTATCTAAAATGTTATTCAGATCAGGAGATATATAAATTCAAAATATTTATGTAAAATGCAATGAGAATATAATGAAAGAAAATACATTTGAGGATATTATTTGAATATAATCGACATACAAATTTTGAAAAGCTTATTTAACAAGAATAGTGAAAAGCCTATAATGGCTTGGCACAAATCAATGATTTGATTGGCTGATAAGTGATCCCAGTCATCCGCGGGGAAAGGGAGACAGGTTCATCAGGTGCGTCAGTAAATTCAAAACGCTGCAGCAAATTTGTGAAAAACAGGAACATTTCCATTCTGGCCAAAGGTTCTCCAAGACAACTCCGAGGACCTGCAGGTTACGAAATTCAGAAAAAAAGAAAAAAAAGAAAATAGAAAGGCAATGATTAATGTTTACAGATTGGACTTATAAATACAATATTGGATTAAGAACAAACGAATTACTGCGAAGCATTGACCAAGCAAGGAATAAAAATCTGATAAAAAAAAGTAACAAAACAACCAAAAATATTAAATAATAAAAATTAAGGCAAATATAGAACGACCCTCTTATAGAACTACCCGAAAGAACTAATCTTATAGAACTACCATTCTCATAGAACTACCCCGTCCACCACTGATCTAACAATGAGCAAAAAAAGTTGAACAATTTTAACAATTCAACAATGTTGGAAATGGTAGATTTATATAGTGTTTATTCGAGACATAAGCAAAACAAATTCATGGATTTGGACAGAAAAACTAAACGTGAATGATTCCCAAAACCGCAAAGAACTGTTTATCCTTTAGTATTGGTCAGTTGTGCTTGTTTTAATTTGTAATGTATATAAGTGTAGGTAGAGAAAAGCAAATGTTGGTAAGATGGCGAGGGTCACAAAGCAATACCCGGGGCCTCCAATCCGGCCTAGTTCGAGTGGTTCAGGGGTAGTACGCATCGGTCCTTCAACAAGCTAAACAAAAATGAAGGAACAGTCTTCTTCTTGAACATGTGATCTTATAAATAGAGAAGCGACACAACAAATAATAAAAACTAATAATTTTTGTGGCCTAGCATATGCACTAATTCTTTCAGCTTTCATATCTTCCAGTGATTTTCTACTATTTCAACCTCATCCAACAGGGGAATGGGATCTCCCTTTTCACTCCATGCCTGATTTTTCTATTTCCCCTCATGTTACAGCTTTACACCGGTGAATATGACAATAAAGATGAAGACAATATCTGAACAATGTAAATAGTATAAGTAATAAAAACTAATAAAGCAAATATTTAATCCCATAATCTCTGTACATGATTATCAATCTCCAACGTTCTAGGGAAGTTATAATCTATTGTAGAAAGACAGAGCTTGATTGATGAAAATGAAACAAAATCGTTTAAGAGTGAACTGGTCAGGTTAGGCATAATGTACCCATAATTAGAGAATATACCCCACAACAAAATAAACTTTTAACCCCCAAAAATAAAACATTTATTTATGAAGGAACCGTATTGATGAATCTGCGACTTTTTTTTATAAAGAGAAAAGCGACATATCAGCAAATTCCTAGCAATTGGAAATGAAACAAATGTATTTCTTATAGAACAATACTCTTATAGAATTACCTTATAGGACTATTCTTATATAACTATTTTTATATAACTATTCTTATAGAACTGCCTCTATTATAGAACTACCCTCTTACAGAACTACCTTAGAGGACTATTCTTATAAAACTACCCTTTTCATAGAACTAACCTTTTATAGAACTACCTAATAGAATTATTCTTATAGAATGATTCTTATAGAAAAATCCTTCTGACAGAACTACCATCTTAAAGAACTACTCTCTTAGAGAACTACCTCAAAGAAATATACTTATAGTACTATTCTTATAGAACTAACCTTTTATAGAAATACCTTATAGACTATTCTTATAGAACTATTCTTACATAACTACCTTTCTTATAGAACTACCCTCTCATGGAACCACCTCATAGAACTATTCTTATAGAAATATCCTTCTCATAGAACTAACTTCATATAGAACTACCTCATAGAACTATTCTTATAAAAATATACTTATGTAAGTACCTTTCTTTTATAGAACTACCCTTTTATAGAACTAAGTTATTAAACTATTCTTATAGAAATATAGAACTATTCTTATAGAAATATTCTTATATAACTACCTTTCTTATAGAACTATTCTTATAGAACTATTCTTACAAAATTACCTTTCTTATAGAACTACCCTCTCATGGAACTAACTGAAAGAACTACTCTTATAAAACTATTCTTATAGAACCATCCTTCTCATAGAACTGCTCGCTTTATCACTGATCTACCCATGAGCAAAGAAGTTGAATAATTTTAACATATTCAACATTATGGGAAAATATGGTGGATTTTATATATAGTGTTTATTCGAGACTTAATACGAGCAAAACAAATTCACGGATTTGGATAGAAAATAAAAGAACCCAGAATGAAGTCAAAATTCGCGAAGACTTTTCATCTTTTAGCAATAGTCTGTGGTACTTAGTTTAATTTGTCACGTATATAAATCAGATGAACCCGCCATGTATTCGGGGTTAGTACACACCGGTCCTACCCCCCCTCCCACAAACTAAAAAAAGAAAATGAAAGAAATGTCTTCTCCTTGAAACTGTGACCTTCTTATAAATTGAGAAGCAAAGAAAAGCAAAAAGTAAATTCCTCGCCATTGAAAATAAAACAAAATTATTTCTGATGCAATTACCCTGTTCACCATATTGAGCTACCCATAAGCAAATTAACTGCATAATAAATTATAAATTCCTACCCCATGAAAATGGCAGAAATGCATCATGTTTTATAATTTTCCTGTCTTTTGTTAACCATCGTTCCGGAAGAAATTTTTCGGGAGTTTCCCAATATCTTGGATCATTATGAATGGTATGAATGATAAATTGGACAATCGTGCCTTTAGGTACGTCAAAACCTCCAAGAGTGACGTCTTCTTCTGCCACATGTGGGGCACCTATGGCAGCTGCAAGTGAAACAAAAATACAAGACTGAGAAATGGAATCTAAAATAAATATATTTGAGGTCACCAAATATTTTTTATCATTTATCAGATATTGTAAAGTTTTAGTCATTATCTATTCTTCCTATCCTCAAAATCTTTATTTTCTGCCATCTTCTCTTTCAATAACACCACGCCTTATTCATCATAATCGTTTTAATGATAACTGTTGTGGCGTCCTCCCTCTAATGAGTCGATTGTAGACTCTTCTACTAAGTATGAAACTGGTTGGAGATTAAGTCTCGGGGATTGAGTGCATCCGCACACTTTCAAGTCGTGTAATATTCTTCTGGTTCATTTACTGTGCAAAATACTACTTATCTGCAAACACTTCTTACGATGTTCCGTAAACATTAATTTGGTCACAACATTAACATTCTACTGAGAATCCTTTATCCAAAATTCTTAGGATATAAAGTGCTTCGGTTTTAAGACTTTTTTCGGATTTTGGAATACAGGCTATTTAATTTGTATATAGCATCTATAAAATACGGCAGCTTGGGAATGAAACCCAAGCATAAACACGATATCCTTTTACATTTCATAACACAGCTTATACATATATACAGAAAATAGTTTCATATAAGCAGCATATGTTCCCTCTGACGCTGATGAATCCACTTTATCAATTAACGATCAAGATCATCATTTCTTGCTTTATACAGTGCTTTCCTATTTTCCATTAATTTCTATTTATCACTTTCAACATAAAACTTTAATAAATTCTCATTCTGTTTCCTAAGGTCGTATATGGTGGTTATTCGAACGCCAAACTCCTCAGTCGCTTCACACTTACGCCCGTGTTTAGTTTTTTCTAACAGGTTGACTTTCTGTGATATTGATAAAAATAAATGCTCCCTTCTTTTTTCTTTTTAATACCCACATTTATTATTTATTTAATTTGTATATAGCATCTATAAAATAGGGCAGCTTGGGAATGGAACCCAAGCATAAACACGATATCCCTTTACATTTCATAAAACAACTTAAACATATATCCTGAAGGTAGTTTTATATAAATAACATATACTTCTGAAAGTAGTTTTATATGAAATTTTTATACTTTTTGTGTATATACAGATACAAGTAATGACGCTAGTCCAGTAATTCTGACACGGAGTTTTAAGTGGTGAAATTAAGATTTCACGTAAAAATAGTGTTTTGTACTTTCTGTATGTATAAAAAAAAAAAAACATGATCACTACTTACAAAAAATATATAAATGCAGGACATTTTGAATAATATCTTTACTGAGCACGAAACATCTGGTAAGTAATCCAAGAACGAAGATGTTGATCGCTAACAAATACTGGCGCCAACGTAGGCTATGTAGCTGGGCTGGAGACTCCCCAACCCTGGGCAGATGAGGGTCACTTACAACGGCTGCATATCAACTAGGAACCTTCTCGGTGCTTTCTGAAATTTTCCATTTCTGGCAGATCATATCAGTTCTCAGATTTTGGAGGTTTTCGTATTTGGGATACTCAACCTGTATAAACATCTCCAGCATATATCAATTTTATTTTATATAATTTAATTTAATTTTAATTATATATAATTTAATTATATATATTTAATTCAATTATTTTTAATTTAATTATATATAATTGATCTGTTAATCTTTATTTTATTGTTATTTCGACCAAATTTCATACATGAAATCAACAAAAAAATTACTCCTTAATTTTATTAATTATATAAAACTCAGTTATCGAAGTTGGATATTATGCATATTAACTATTGTGTATATATATATATATATATATATATATATATATATATATATATATATATATATAAGACAGGATGTGTGTGCGTGTGTTTCACGAATGCACGGCCGCAATTTTCCACGGATTTGCACCAAAATTTACATGCACATGCGCCAAGTTAGCGGGAAGACCAAGATCAACTTTGCATTTCCCAACTCCCATCGATAGTGGAAATAATCGATTTTTTCATGCTTCTACGCAGTTTTCATGTAGTTTGCGGACATTTTCTACTGGCCAGTGTGAGAGCCTATAGCTGGCTGCCACGAACAGGCAGGAAGATTCTATCGGCCAGCGTGTGAGCCAACAGCTGACTTACACAAATGTTAACAAGTATGCAAAAATATCGATAGCTGCATTCGTCACAAGTGGGAAAAATTTAAATCTGCATGGCACTTTACTTCAATTGGCTCATTCGCTTGCTTAAACTCAACGTTAATTCTGATTCCACAGAACTGGGTTGGGTGTGAAAAAGTATTTGTTGTTAACATTGTTTTTCCATTTGGTTTTTCCAGTTACGAGTCCTTTTTTAAAGCTGATCGTTTTGTGTTCATTTTGTTTAGTTCTTTTTTCATAACAGATTTAATGTTTAGTATAGAGCTTAGAAAAAACTTGCAGTGTGAGATAGGCAAGAAGTAAGGCATGTAGCAACATAAGCACGGCAAAGGGCACTCCTTTAAAGGCAAGGAAGGGCAAAAATATTTTAAGTCAAGTGATAGCGATTGCTGTATGAGTTGTACGATTTTTTGAATCAAGCACAGGCCACACCAGGCCATGCTGCTATATATATATATATATATATATATATATATATATATATATATATATATATATATATATATGGTGATTGAATTAGATTAGTTAACAAAAAAACTTTGGCCTACCATTAGCTTGGATACTTAGCTAATTTTAATACATACCATAGCATCTCGACATTGAACAATGTTTAAGTTGGCTAATGAATAAGACTGCTGCAGTGTGCTTGGTTTTCACTGATTCTGTCTTAAATTGTAGCCTTTGTGCCAGACTAATATAAAATTAGCAGTCTGTTAACACCAACAAATAAAACTTTTAAGTTACTAAGCCTTTCAGAAATGGAAGCAGAATGAAAAAACATTATTGATCTTACTCGACTGTATATAGTTTGATCATCACAAAGTGCTTTATAATTCTGGCCGTTGCCAGAATTAATTAGTGTCTTGGTTACTTCTTTAAGAGTGATATCTAGAGAGAAGTTGTCGTCGTCAGCTTTATCTTGTATCCAAGAATTTATTTGTTTTCTTTACTGATCGATTCCTTTATGATGATGGCGTTGATGTCGAAATTCGCCACCAACGTGTAGATTCAGGACTAGAAACTACCAGTTTCACCAAAAACTTGCTCCCATCATCCATACCCGATGACCGTTTGGCTTTGCAAGAGTTGGTTGAAGGTGAAAGAAAAAAGAGTAGAAGAAAGTGCCGATGGCGTGAATTTGTTTGAGGTAGACCTCAACTTGCCAGAAAGTAACCCACACACTTAATATCATAACCTTTCACGACGGCACATATGGAATGAGACATGAAGAATTCAGCTATAAAACTTCGATTATAATTTCGAGTGGCGCCTTCTGTGGCATACCCGTCATGCGTAACACTCTTCATCCGTTTGTTCAAACATTGCGATCTGTTGTAGTCTATCATTCACTTGTTTCACCGTTGAAGTCTTTGGGCTTGTCACACTTAGTCTGGATCCTCGTCTTCGACCTTGTCGCCAAGGGATGCCCTATCAGGAGTTCAGAAATCTCAACATACAAATGCATTCAGCTTTATTGAACTTGTTACTCTGATGAAAGTGATGCTTCCTTATTTTGGGAGGGTCGATTTATTGAACTTTGAACTTTATTAATTTCTCAGAATTTTAGGAGTCAACTTACCAGAACGCTATATTTTTTTATCATTTGTGTTATGTAGGTGTTACATTTACTTCTTCTTTAGAGAGATTGTAGAATTTTCTAACATTAGACTCACCGTTGACATCATTTTAGAATTAGTAACAATTGTATTAATGAACGTTGCGAGCCCGCTGTTTCGAATAGAGACTTAAAACTATTAGACATTATTTACAAAGTAACCACAAATATATATAGCAATTTAAAGAATTTTAAGGCTGGGCTGCAGTTAAATCAAATTTGTAGATATTATTGACAGGTCTTTACTCACCTACTGTAGCAATCCTTTGCACTTCAAGAATTGTGGCATTAACAAATGGTAATTCGTCTTTATCTGCCATTGTGACCATTCGGTTAAAATCCGTCAGCTTTAAAATATAAGAAAGATTATCTTCAAATTAATCTCCTGAATAATTAAAAATCATGGTAAACCTCTGACAAGGGATAACATTGCTTAACTTTTGATGTCTAAATAACAAATTTGTTTTTATTCAGACTGACTGATATTTCAAAGTATACAACTACACAATTCTAGAATACAGGACTTCTCAGGCTTTTAGGACATTTGTATGAATTTAGTAAAAGACGCATAAGTCATAAAAAGAAGAGGTTTTTATTTGAGAAGAAAATGGGCAAGAATCATTTTGAAACTCTTTTTGACGCGTCTACTTAATCGATCCGCCATTAGCATCGATGGCTGCTTCAATACGAGGTGTGAAATATTTGCATTGTCGAATCAGATGTTTTTTATCTATTCTGGACATTGTGCTTGTTATGATGGACTTCAGAGATGTTAAAGTGATATAAGGGCGTTGATTGACTTCCCTCTCAACTTCGGCTCATACGTAGTAGTCCAACGAATTCAGGCCTGGAGCGCTAGGAGGCAATAATTTTGCAGTGACGTCATTGTGGAGATTGTAATTCAGCCATTCTTTGAACTTATGAAACGGTACAGAGTCTTGTTGGTAGGTGTACGGTATTTCCTTGCTCACACTCTCTATCCAAAGCCTCACAATCCTCTCCAGCACCTCTTTATAATCAGCAACATTGACCCTTAAGCCTTAAGTGGTGAAGGGCATGACATTTCCCTCGTTACTTACGACTCTCTGGGTCACTGCATAAACGTCTGTCAATCCTTCGTTTGACATTTTGGTCTTGATCAAAAATTTTCTAATCAGACAGAAACCAAAGCATTGTAGACTCTTGATGTTTCAACAAGCGCCTTACGCAAATCAAATGATTATCTTTTGTCTTCAGTATCTGTCTATATTTCTGAGCTGAGGTATTATGTACATTTTTTAAATTATTCGGATTATTGTCCTCATCTTTGTCGCCATATTCATTACAACGTTTCGGCCGTTGTACGCTCCGGCCTTCTTCAGGTGGTTGGAATGTCGAACTTAACATACCCAGAGATTCATACACAGATGTCCTCAAGGACACATGGCACAGTGGATAAAGGCGTTGGTTAGATCCAGTGACAGGACCCAAAGAGTGTGAGTTCAATACTCGGTTAAGTGGAGAACTTTCAGGGGGAAATTAACAGGAGATAACTGATAACTGGCATCCATTAAACATGGCACGTGGAACTAGAACAGTCTATCCCAGTGAGCGAAATAAGGTTATAGTGTCTGTGAACATTAAAACCCGTTCAAAGTATTTAAATCACTTATATGCATTGCCTCATGTATGTATGCATTACATTGTCTTGTGTATGCATTATTATATTGCTTTATCTATATATTGACCATTTATTTATATGACCATGGGACGCAGGTTCGAATCTTACCATGATCGATTTGTCTGGAATATTGATTTCTTGTTAATATCGGCCTGAGGAGGCGATCTCAGCTTGCAGCACCGATGGAAAGTGCCTGAAAATTGCAACACAGATTGACCGAAGCATTGTGAGTTAAATTGGGAAGACGGAACAGTTCCATTCATGGATGTGCTCGCTCGAAGTCACAAGTCATCGTGACTGAGGACTTGAGTGTACTGACTTTATTCAAACGCCAAGTGACGCTCTCTCTCCCAGAAAGTGCAACTAAAGTCCGCTCAGTCTAGTTGCAGTATAAATCAAAGGTCTGCTCTAGTAGTATTGAACAAACACAAATACGTCTGAGCAGGCATACTCAGATCCAAATGCCAAGCCGTTATTTATATATATAATAAGCCACATCAAATATAACAAAATAGTTTTTCTTTAATCTCGCATATATATATATATATATATATATATATATATATATATATATATATGACATACTGGCTGTCCCAAAATAATGTATACTCTCTTTAAATATTATATGGATGAAAATATGCAAAACAGATGGATTGAAAGAAGAGTGACAGTTAAATACCCACCTATATCACCAGATTTGACACCCTTGGATTTCTTTTTGTAGGGGTTTCTAAAAGACAAAATTTACAGCAGGAACCCTGAAACAATTGCTGAAATGAGAGTAGCAATTGAAGAAGAATGTTCTCAAATACCAGAGGAAATGATACTGCACGTTTGTAGGTCTATTTCTTCAAGATATGAAAAGTGTATTGAACAGAACAGCAACCAGTTTGAGAACTTGATGTGAACTCATCATTATATGAACAACCTGCCATTACCCCAAGTAGCTTTAATTTAATTTAAGTTAATTTTCTATGTTTTTTGTATATTTTACTCTCAAATTCTTTAAATGTGTATTCTTTCTCTTGTATTAACCTTATTTAAAAGTCAAAATACATAAATTGAATGTTATAATGATTCAAAGAGTGTATACATTATTTTGGGACACCTGTATATATATGTGAAAAGTGTGTGTATATAAATCAATCCAACCATATATATATATATATATATATATATATATATGGTTGGATTGATTTATATACTCCTTGAAAGCGTCGTGCTACGCACCGCGACATTGCAAAAAACAGTAATCATCATAAACTAGCAAGGCCGGACTTCGACCGTTCTTATTGACATATGTCAGTCAGCGTCAGCCAATGAAAAACAGGGTTTTTCACGCTCCTCTACTATATAGTAGTGTCTTTTTACGGTTTAGATTTACTACTTCCGGAAGCCATGGTGAGGTGAGCTGGTATCATTATTGAATTGTTTAAGCCCATATTTTACATATCAAATACTAATCCCATAACGATACTAAATATTATATATATATATATATATAAAGAAATATAGTCTTAAGGTGTGCTATATTTATGGGATAAAGTGCTCAATATCAGAGATAGAGCGTGTGTAAATATAAAAGTGAACATAGAAGTCAACACATATGGCGACAGTCTGTTTCTGACTATATGCAATCGTCAGGCCTGACGATTGTCGCATGAAAACTAAGTGTTGACTTATTTTTATATATATATATATATATATATATATATATATATATATATATATATATGTATAAACGAAGAATTACATTAATCTTCAAACACGGATGTACACATTTGAATAATCTTTATTTATGTATTATTTTTCAAATGAAGAAATAAATTACAAAGATTCTTTGAGAACAACTTCACACAAAATGTTTTGCGTATATTTTTTCCAGTAAAACTGAATAAATTGCATTAGTATAGAATAAACGGAAAATATATCTATATGTGTGCAGATCTGTGTGACACAGCTTTATAATATTTTCATAAAGTATAAGGTTATTTTGGACACAATATGTGTTGCAATCACAGAATTAACAACATCAATCTTTCGGGCGAAAACGACTAATAAAACACCATCCTGTGCAGACTGATTTCAAATTCTCACTTGACCATTTCTTAGATTTGTTACCCTAACTTAATTAAGGAACCCAGTGTTAATACAAATGTCACTGCCTGTCTTACCTTTCGGATTTCCTCTCGACATTGATGTTGTATCTCTGGGTATTTTGTTAAGTACAAGAAAGCCCAGAGCAAAGATGTGGCTGTTGTTTCAGAACCAGCAGAAAATAGATCAACAATTGTTCGGAAGATATTCATCTCTGGAGAAAGAATTGTACAAATTATATGAAGACGTATCTGCTAAATGCAGGTATTAAATATTTATCAATTTTCAAATTGATTTAAGCATTCCTATAAAATTTATTTGTAATGTTATATATAATATTAATAATATCATAATATACATTAATATATACATTAATATCTAATTCACTAAATGTTTGTCTGTCTGTAATCACATAACCCAAAGATGGCTAAAGCTACACCAAACAAATTTTCTTTGGTCACTAATGGGATTCTGTAGCGTGTTTTTTCGGAAATTAGTTTTTTTTGAAAATTTCAAAGCTTTGAATATTTTAACATAGGATTTTATTTAAATTTGCATCCTTCAGTTGCAGGAAATTAAAGCAACACACATCAGGCTGTTCGAATATTCTCTACTCGTGCAGTATTTCAGAAACATATAGTTATACGTCATTTGACTTTAAAATAAATACAAATAACTTTAGTGAGGACTTATCTAAACTACTAAAACCTTCTTCGTGATCCTACTCCTCTATTCAACGCACTGTACAACATATAATCTTTCTATAATGTTTTAACTACCTGATTTATACTGATAGTTTTATTCACTATATCTACGTCTAATTTTGTCCAGAATATAATCTCCAAATTAGTTTCTTATTACATTTAGAAGACGATTTCTGCTTAGTAAACCAATCAGCCATGAAAATATTATACCACGGTTTTCAAATTGTAGACTCACACTCTTTGGGTCCTGTCCCTGGATCTAACCAACGCCTTTATCCACTGTACCATGTGCTCTTGAGGATAAAGGCGTTGGTTAGATCCAGTGACAGGATCCAAAGAGTGCGAGTTCAATACCCGGTTAAGGCAGTGGAGAACTTTCAGAGGGAAATTAACAGGAGATAACTGATAACTGACATCCATTAAAAACACGGCACGTGGAACTAGAACAGTCTACCCCAGTGAGCGAAATAAAGGGTTCAGTTCGACATTCCAACCACCTAAAGAAGGCCGGAGCGTACAACGGCCGAAACGTTGTAATAAATATGGCGACAAAGATGAAGACAATAGTCCGAATAATGTAAATAATGTAAATAATACCTCATCTCAGAAATATAGACAGAAACTGGTTATTGTTATTCAACTTCTACAACATAGTAACATCAATTTTACTACCTATAGTTTATTATTATTATTAGTAGTAGTACTAGTAATAGAAGTAGTAGTAGTAATAATAGTAGTATTTGATATAAATATATACTAAAATAAAAAGTATACGATTTATGTATATCTCAAACAACCTTGCAGTGTGTCAAGAAGTTTCACAAGTAATGTTTATCTCTGGTGTCCTTGGGGTTTTCAGGTCTATAAAAACATACAACCTCAACCCGGAGCTATCACCTATTGGTCAGCTTCATGACCTCTTTCTGTTGTATTGGCGAATTTCGAAACATATACCCCGAGTTTATATAGATGTATAAATCTACTCTTGTCTAGTACACAATTTCCAATTTTCTCTATTGTATTGTCAATTAGTCTTTGATTAGTATACCAATCAGAGAGCCAAATATCCTACTAGCCTTTTCAGATTGGTGACCCAAATAAAACTCTCCGAACTTCTACAACATGGCGACTTTCATTCTACTGACTATATTTCTATTTCTATTTTAATGATGTCGATAGTCATTTTAATGATAGCCTTATTATTTTTTAGAATCTTTTAAATGTTATTTGAAGCGAAAATAGAGAAAAAAAGAATGTGGGATATTTACTTCAATCTTTTGAGGCGTTAATAAAATTCTTACCTGAATAAGATTCACTTTTCTCTTCCTGCGTCATTAAAATATACATGTCGACAAAATCTCTCAGGTTGTTGGCATCAAAGGTTTCTCGGTGCTCTTGAATTTTCTCCTGCACAAAGCCTCGAAGAATTTGATCATTTTTAATCAAGATCTGTGCCTGATTAATTAAAAAGACTTAATGAATAAACTTATTTTACACATTTATTTAATTTTATTTAATAATTTGAATTAATTTTTCATTTAATTAAATTTAAAGAAATTTACGGTTTTTATATTGAATGTGGTAAATAAACTGACAGAATTTTTAATGGATTATTATTAAAAAAATAATTTATTTTGCAATTCAATCAAAATTATGACAATACCTATTTATGAAATGTTACTGTTTTAAATGAAAATATATTCACATTAAGACGAACAATGGCAAAGATCATTTTTGAACAATTTAGAACTTTTTACAGATTTTAAATTTGATCAAAACATGCTTTTAATATCAACATGTTAATATCGATTTTATGTACCTCTACAAAAAGCGATACCTAAGACTTAAAATGTATTTTAAAAATGAAAATCTTTCTTGAAGTCTTATTTTACTTTTAATTCCAAACTAATAGATTAAATCTAATATCTTCAATTAGCAAAATACTATACTGTATTTCAATATGAATTCAAATTGACTGGGATGAATTCTTTTTTTGATTATAAATAAAATCTATAAAAATCGTCCCTATTGACAAATCTGCCAACATTACATTATTTTTTTATTAAAAACATTTCAAAAATAAAATATGTTTTTCTAAAACTTTATTTTGGGAAGATTAACTGAATTAAATAATCAGAATTAAAGCAAATAATACTTTTAGTTTAAAATACCGCAAAAGGGCATTTTTAGCACGAAAGTAGATGTTTTTATGAAATGTTTATTGATAGCTTAACGTTAGGTAAATTTAAGTAAAGGGTACATAACTGTAAAAATAACTTGACCAATACTACGTCAGCGCCCTTTTTTATATAATTTTTAATTACCCTGGAATCATAAAAATTAGGACAATTTTCTAAGTAATCTAATATTTTATTAAATTTTAGGTACTTTGTCTTTCTAGTTATACTTATGATGACGCTTGTTGATGAAATAATAGGAAATTGCCAATAAATTTAAAATTTACTGTAGTTACCGCTCTTATTTTCTGATAATATCGTGTACGGACATCCATATTTACAAAAATTGACATGTTCATACTCTCACATTTTTAAAATATTGGGGATCCCTGAATTGTAGTAAGCTTTTCCATTTATGATTACTAAATATAGTTTTTGCTCAATAACAATATGACCTAACTGCTAAAAATGACTATAGATTTTTAAAAAATTTGAAAATTTATAAATTGTTATAAATAAAATAAAAAATTAAAAGTATTCTTATAAAAATTCATTATTCATCGAAAAAAAAGTTTTCTTAAGATAATATATTATTCACAAAAGCTATTAAAAGCTTTTTTAATTAAATAATGTCATAATTTTATTGCATTTTTTGTGCTACGGAGAGTCCTGATTGATTAACGAAATTTTTTTGTTTTAAACTTTCCAAGGACTTTGACTTATAACTAATATTAAGTACTAGAAAGATGGATTACTCGAAATTTCATAAAATTAAATAATGGGAGTAAAATATGTAAGCAAATATATTATGAATATTTTCTTTAAAAGGAAACGTTTCTAAAATAATTTCATTCAATTGCGAATAATTCCTGAAAATTTTATTAAATTCCGACAATTATCTGATCTTTGCAAGAATTTCCAAATCAATGTGTTTTTCACCTGAAAAAAGACGCTGAAATTTTCCATGTTAATTTATGGTTACCTGTTGATGCAGTATAAGCCCAAATTTCGAAGTTTTTAAAAACGATTTAAAAATATAATAATTTAATAATGAAAAGATCCTTTGGTGTTTTCTCTTAATAATAATAACAAAGTTTTTGAAAGACAAAACTTTGTTTTTAAATTTTTTTTATGCCAAGCTGATCTCGCAAAAAATTGCATACGTCCAACTCTCGCCAATTCTCCTAGTTCCGAGACCGTGTCTTTCTTAAATTAAGTTGTTAGGGCGGCCATATTTCTTTTTCCTTCTTTTCACTCGTTTTGCACGCCAGGCATATACGTACTCCTTTTACCATACGAAGTAAGTTATCGTATCGTCTCTTCCACAGTTCTGTTATATTCTAGATTGTTAGGATGAACAAAAATCATTAATACAGATTAATAATTCTTCCTTCCTCAGTTAATAATAAAATTCGATATAGAAAAGCTTTAGAGTGGCAACCTGAACAGCTTTGATGAAGAAATTAAAACGTCACAATGCTTCATCTAATATTTTTCTCTTCTGTGGCCTGGAACTGAACTTTTTGAGTCTATTCACTGTATCTATCCACTGGGCCATGAGCCTTCGAACTGTGGTGAACCAAAACTTGGAAAGTTGAGTTAAAGGAAAATAACTGAGACATCTGGAAGAGGCATAGAACGTGGAAATAGAACAATCTACCCCGGTGGACGAAATAAAGGGTTCGATTCGAAACTTCAATCACCTGAAGAAGGCCGAAGCATACAATAGCCGAAACCTTGTGAATATGGTAATGAAGATGAGGATAACAGTTCGAAGAATGTGAATATTGCGAGTATTTTTCTAGAGCAGTACTAAGGACCGACAACTCTTCCAGCATTTCCAGCGATGGGTCGTAAATAAGAGTTTTGAAATTCTGTACTGGTCGACCTCATCTGATTATTTACCATAGAAATAGCGATAGAATGGTGAACAATTTGCAACGTTTCGTCTATGGGAAAATGGTTGTAGGGGGAGATAATTAATCCCCCGTTATATATGCTGTTGAACACTCTCAAGCCAGGAAAGTGAGAATTGGGAAACTTCAGCATTATTCCATTTTTGGTCTAATCTGACCGTTGAATTATTAATGTCTTGAAGTTTTGGAGGAAGAGAAACGATCCTATAAGCAATGGGATTTTTTTAAATTTTGAAAGTTCTAAATAAATCAGTTAGGGACATGGGTCAATTAACTTAAAATCTAGGTTAGGTAAATCGCCGAGTGGATTTAATCAAAATGTTCAGGGTAAGTCAACTAGTACTCATAGAAGAAAATCAGCATCTTTTTTTGACAAATGCACCCCCTTTTTAATACTTACGGGCGAATTCTTGCGGACGTACTGTAGCCAGGGCAAAAAGTTCTCGAGTAGCTGTATTCCAGCATTTTTAAAGAGGTAGTCAAAAATATCAATTAATTCATGAAACCTTGGAGCTGTGTATTCTAATCTGAAAAAAAAAAGGATAATACATTGATTACTCAATTCAAATTAATAAAAATTGTCAAATTGTCAAAAATGCTAGAAAAATTTGAAAAAGGATAATATTTTTTAAACAAGCTAGGCAGTAAAGCTACTAAGATACAAGGGGCTACTGAGGATAAAATAAGCAGAAAGACATTAAAAGAACAGGATTCAAGGAGACAGATGGTGACGACTGGCATTGCATTCTGATTTTTGAAGATCGTTGTTAGCAGGAAAGCAGTGTAGTGTCTTAATAAACATATCACCAGCAACAGTCCGGAGAGTATAAAAACGTTCGAACTCTTAAGTAGCATTCTCTTCTTATTTTTCCTCCTTTCGAAGTGTGTGCCATCAACTTTTCACACTGAAGCAAAACAAACACACACACAAACACATACAATTTTCCCTTGTCTCCCTCTTTCTTCCCCTCAATTTTTCTTCTTATTTAAATGTTATATTGAATTTTTTTCTTTTTCTTTCTTCTTTTTCTTAATATAAAAACATATTTCCTTTTCTTTATCCTTTTCTTTTTTCTGTCGGACTGGTTTTTTTTTCTAAAACACCTTCGGTCTGAAGAGATGAATATTAAAATATATTCTTTAAAAAATTATAACCGAGATGTATTTTTAATGACATTCTTGACATATATATATATATATATATATATATATATATATATATATATATATATATATATATATATTATAAATTAATTGATTTAAAATATGGTTTTTTCCGCTACACAGTTCTAACCATGTTTCAAAAAATAGAAGCTAAAAAGCCCTGAATTTAATTTTGCAATTAAATTAAAAGCATTAGTTCCATTTCATCCTCAAGCGAATTTTGGAGTAACTTTTAAAAATTACTGGGTTTTAAAGACACAGCTAAAATCACGTTTCCATGGTTACAGAATATTCTACTTGAATTGGACAAGGGATGTCTAGGTATTCCTTATGTCAGTATCATTGTATCAGTTATTAGCTACAATTTGGTAAGGGGTAGGGATGTATTTTTCAATGAAAACTAACATTCGTTCAATGCATGTCGTCTGGATTTTTTTTTAAATTATTGTTAACGGTAAAAAAATTCTTACGGCATTTTTTTTCTATTTATAAATTTAAAGATTTTCGGGGGTGTTCAGATCATAATACTTTTTATTTAAGTATGATTTGAAATATTCTTATTTTTAATTTTTATTATACTATATTCTTTTTAAGAACAGTTAAATGTATTAGACTCCATTATATTATGTAGGATTATAATAAAAATATCTATAAGAACACCGGATTATATATCTTACTGTTCTTTTTTTTTTTATATATATATATATATATATATATATATATATATATATATATATATATATATATATGTAATTGCTGTCTTAAAAGATTGATTAACCTCCTAAACACTTATTATGGAAACATGGATTTGCCCATCAGCTTTGCGTAGAATGTTTGCTCGTGGAACAGTGGCCAAAAGAGAGTCATAAAGTCATAACGCATAAAGTTGTATGCTTGTCGCATTGAACTACAACATTCTCAATCCATGACCTCACGTAACCCTTCTTCCCTTAACCTTTTGTCCCTTATTTTCCTAAAAGTCTTACTAACCAGTAACTACGAACGTTATACGAACGTTATACGAACGTTATACTTCATACGGCCTTCTTTTAGATAAACAATATGGCTTTTGTTTCTCTAGATCTACTGCCGAGCAGTGAACGGTTATTTATTGAACTTGCCTATCAGGCTTATAGATAAGAACGGCGGAGTTCGTGCTGTGGCTTTAGATAAGACGTTTGACATGTTGGACTTCTTCCCAAGCTCAAGGCCTATAGTATCTCTGACATAATATTTGACTTAACCCAATCGTTCTTAAATCTCTATCTATAAAAGGCAGGATGTGTGTGTGTGTGTGTGTGTGTAACGAATGCACGGCCGCAATTTTCGACGGATTTGCACCAAAATTTACATGCACATGCTCCAAGTTAGCGGGAAGACCAAGACCGAATTTGCATTTCCCAACTCCCATCGATAGTGGAAATAATTGATTTTTTCGTGCTTCTACGGCAATTTTCATGTAGTTTGCGGCCATTTTGTACTGGCCAGAGTGAGAGACTATAGCTGGCTGCCACGAATCTGCATGGCACTTTACTCCAATTGGCTCATTCGCTTGCTTAAACTCAACGTTAATTCTGATTCCGCAGAACTAAATTGGGTGTGAAAAAGTATTTGTTGTTAACATTTTTTTTTCATTCGTTTTATCCAGTTACGAGTCCTTTTTTAAAGCTGATCGTTTTGTGTTCATTTTGTTTAGTTCTTTTTTCGTAACAGATTTAATGAGCTTAGAAACATTCGCAGTGTGAGATAGGCAAGAAGTAAGGCATGTAGCAACATCAGCACGGCAAAGGGCACTCCTTTAAAGGCAAGGGAGGGCAAAAATATTTTAAGTCAAGTGATAGCGTTTTCTGTATGAGTCGTACGATTTTTGAATCAAGCACGGGCAACGCCGGGCCATGCTGCTAGTCGTGTAATAAAAATCCTGTTGAACAGCCACGTTCCTAGATCCTTTCACATGAATGCGAGACGGTGGTTCTTTCCTTAGACCTACGTTGTTTCTTATTTTCATCAACGACCTTCCCGATCTCATCAGTTCCCAACTCGGTATTTATACTGATGACACAACTACTTACTCCTGTTTTTAGAAATGTTCCATGCCTTTTAATAATCATAGGGAGCATTTTTTTTAACCATCCATCAGCATGGCTGATGCTACCCCCCAAGAGCGAAACACATTATGACTTCATGGTCTCACATTTTCCACTGACATGAAATGAAATTATTATATTGAATCAATGGCTAGAGCAAGAAATGATGGTTAACTGTGCCTTTCCAAACAATTTTTCTTGCCAGAATCTATCTTGCACATTTATAAATCTACCATTCGTCTATGCATTGAATATCTAGTCTACAGCTCCTGTAATATATCTAGAGATTCTTAACAAAAGAATAAATGTCTATAATGTTATCTGCACTGGCCTGTCATTTTGACTTCAGTCACTTTCTCATAACCTTGACATTTTTCTCGCCAGAATCCATCTTGCACATTTATAAATCTTCAATTCATCTGTGAATTGGATATTTGGTATGGAGCCCCTGTAATATATCTAGAGATTCTCAACATAAAATAAAATAAAATAAAAAATAAAAAATAAGAGTCTATAATGTTATCTATCCTGGCTTTCAGTCACTTTCTCACAACGTTAAAGTAATTTCCCTTATCTCATTTCTATAAATATTTTCATGGCATTTTTATTTATTTATCAACCCTTTGTTCTTTATTTGAAACTGAAACATATTTTGGATTCGAAGTATAATTTTTCTGACTGAATTTTTCATTAACAGTTTTCTGAGAATAGCAATCATTTTTCCTGATACAAGTTCTTCTATTTAACCCATAGCTGTGGGGAATGATGGATTCATACATTTCCCAAGGATATTTGTTTGTAAGTGAATATAACGAACCCAACTGGAATTCGAACTTGACTCACCAGTTTGGCACCCGGAATAAATTAAGAAAAGCATCAAATGCTGTCTTTGTGAAGAAAGAGATATGACTTTAAACCACATGGTAAGTAAATTCATTATGTTGGATTGAAGGCATTATAACAACAGGCATAATAGGGGTGGATCAGTGAGACACTTGGAATTACGCAAATGTTTTAGGTTTGCCTCTGTAAACAATTGGTATCAGCAAATCTTAAGAGTTTTCAAGGAAATATAAAATAAATAAAATAATTTTAGATGATAAGATTGAGATCAATCACTATATCGAAGCAAGAAAAAACAATTTCGGCGTTTCATTCACTACCCATTGATATTACACCATCAACCCTTTGCTTAACTTTAGTCACTTTCGATACTAACATAAGAAATATTTTCTGTGATTGGAAAAAACTTTTTTCAAATGTTGCACTTTCTGAGTTAAAATTTGTTTTAACATCTCGATCTGGCTTTACATTGAAAGTAATTAGAATGAAAGTAATTGTCAGTGATTTTGAATCAAGGTAAGCATAACTTACATAAAACTACTATTATATATATATTGCCTATATTTTAATGATGATCTAACAAGTACACTATAAAGAATGTTTCAGTTTCAAATCCCACTCAATAAAGTGTGGGCAATGAGAGAAAGAAAAGGGACAAAACCTGTTTTGTTAAATGAAGAGAATCTTAAAGGTTTTCCCCACTAACCAATTAGAGATAGGCTCCAACCAGTTTAAATATTTTCTAACCAATCAGCTTTCAGAATTTCAAAGAATGCAATTGGGGTCGTTCAACAGAAATGTCAATAAATAGGTGGTCAGCACAGAAATATTTGATACTTACCACCATGTAACCAATGACAACATAGGCAGCAACATCTCATCACATCACCTATTCACATATATTCACAATATTATTTTATAACAGCTGTTCACGTAAAACGGGATATATTGGTGGGATTTATTAAACTAACATGTCGAAACAAAAAATTGGTCTAGCTAAATGGAATGTGATAAATTTATTGAACTGTCATGGAATAAACTGAAACTTCCATGATAATTGTTCTGACAAGCTTTCCAGTTTCATACTTAGACGTTATGAATTTAAGCGCAGTACTAAATTGGCAGTTAGGTCTCATCATTTTACAGTTGAAAAGGCTAGATGTAACCGTATATTCTATGCTAACAGTTTCCCCTCCCGCAATCGTACGACTCATACACCAATCGCTATCACTTGACTTAAAATATTTTTGCCCTCCCTTGCCTTTAAAGGAGTGCCCTTTGCCGTGCTGATGTTGCTACATGTCTTACTTCTTACCTATCTCACACTGCGAATTTTTTCGAAGCTCTATACTAAACATTAAATCTGTCACGAAAAAAGAACTAAAAAAAATGAACACAAAACGATCAGCTTTAAAAAAGGACTCATAACTGGAAAAAACGAATGAAAAAAGAATGTTAACAACAAATACTTTTTCAACACCCAACCCAGTTCTGCGGAATCAGAATCAACGTTGAGTTTAAGCAAGCGAATGAGCCAAGTGGAGTAAAGTGCCATGCAGATTTAAATTTTTCCCACTTGTAACGAATGCAGCTATCGATTTTTTTTGCATGCTAACATGCTAGTTAACATTCGTGTCAGTCAGCTGTTGGCTCTCATGCTAGCCAATAGAATCTTCCTGCCTATTCGTGGCAGCCATCTATAGGCTCTCACTCTGGCCAGTACAAAATGGCCGCAAACTACATGAAAACTGCCGTAGAAGCACGAAATATTTGGATTATTTCCGCTATCGATGGAAGTTGGGAAATGTAAATTCGGTCTTGGTCTTCCCGCTATCTTGGAGCATGTGCATGTAAATTTTGGTGCAAATCCGTCAAAATTGCGGCCGTGCATTCGTTACACACACACACACACACAAACTGCCCTTTTATATATATATATATATATATATATATATATATATATATATATATATATATATATCCACTAACGCGATGCAACATTGCTCATATCAGAAATAAATTTGAAGACAGTGATCTCTCAGTTATTTCCCTTTAGCCAAGTTTTTTGGTTCGACACAGAGTTGAGTTAAAATGAAATAACTGAGGCATGGCACGTGGAATTAGAACAATCTACCATGGTGGGCGAAGTAAAGGGTTCCGTTCGTAATTCCAGTCACCTGAAGAAGGTCGAAGCGTACAACGGCCGAAACATTGTGAATATGGCAATGAAGATGGGGATAATAGTAAAGTAAATGTAATGTAAATGGGCGTTATCATAACACCTCATCTCAGAGATATAGACATGTAGTACATTTTTGGGTGGACATCCTGTATTGTGGAAACTGGCTCTCCCTTAATCTTTAGCCTGTTATTGGGTGTGGCTCCTTAATGAGTTAAGTACTTAATCTCTTCTACCATGCTTCAGCTTTACAAGAGTTAGAAAAGACAAAACCTAAGAGTAATGCAATCATATGTGGGAAGGAGGGGCTCAATCCTCACTTTTTAGCTTTGATAGAGTTGAAAGTCGTTTGCGCAGTCTTGTGGGGCAATTTATTTTTCACTCTGCAACCTCTCACCTCACACATGCACAGTCACCAGCCTATCGATCTGTCCATGGGAAACCTTCATTCTTTAGTTCCACCAGTTCTGGTCATTACATCTAAGACATGTCATTCTACGATGTCGAGTCACCCTCATTCCACACGCATTTTAGTTGTTAGTAGAAAGTATCATTCAGTGAACTTTTCCTCAAGAATTTTTACTTTGTGGAACAAGCTCCTGCGCGGATGCTTTCCTGACAACTACAAACTTAACGTCTTCAAGTCAAATGTCATTCGTTGACTATCTTCCTTATTCTCATAATCAACACTTCCTACAACCTCCCCTTTCATTCATATCACACACCTCTTTCACTAACCCTCTACCTTGACTGGCTCCCGAGCCTTGTATATAGTGAACGTTGATTATGACGATGATTAATTATGATACAACAGGAAAGGTATCAGAATAACAAAGTGAGGCTGAAAAATACTGACCTTTGTCCAAAAATTATATTGTAAATGACATTAAAAACACCATCGCCGATGTGTTTCTTGAGGACGAAAGGTTTGCCGTTGTGAGCTTCAATGGCAATGGAAACTTCCACAACTTCTTCCTGTATCTTCTCTTCCAAACTTTTCTTGCCAACACCAAAATTCCGAAGAGTTGAGAGTGAAAATCTTCGCAAGTCTTTCCACTCTTGACCTGTGTTGAAGAAAACCCCTGTGCACAGGAAAATAATAAATAAAAATAAAATATATACAAAGGAAAACGGAAAGTATAAAGAACATTTTATATCATTAGTTTATTGTTAGAAGGTAAGGTTAGAAAATCATTTAAATTAAGTTTAAAAATGTTTTTTTCGAATATACACTGATCGATTACTTTGGTTATTGTAACAATTAGCAAAGTCACTTAGTAATGTAACGAGAAATAACCAATATTTGATACCATTCGTTTTTTTATATACTCTGTATTCACAGAAGACATTTGCAGTATTTTGACCTTTGCACATAGTATGACATAAAGACAAAAAATATTGCTGCTTGCTCTTATAAATGAGTTGATTGATGACACTCTGGTCCGATAGGTGACAGGTGAGTTTCCGTGAAAGTGTGGTTGTGGTATATCCTATGAAAGAAGTTTTTGTGTTTTTATTTGCAGAGAAACATCCACCGAGTGGGCAACGTTAGTCTTACGTCGGATGCGGGAAGTTTGGGATATATTACTTTGAATAAATTGATAGTTTTGTATTACTTTTTGTCTTTAATAACATTTGAATAATATTTTATGGCTAAATAGACCGAATATATATGTAAGCAAATATATGGATATAGATCCGACAGTATGAAGAAAAATATACGGAAAAACAATGTCCATTGTCTTTTCATGTTGACTTGAATATCGTCTAATGTTAATTATGATTTATAAATATGTCCTGAAGAAGGTCTACTAGACCGAAACGTCTGACGTTGACATTATATTAATATTGAAACAGCATAATTTCATATTAGGATTTTTGTTTGTTTTTCCGTATATTTTTCTTCATATATATATATATATATATATATATATATATAATTGAATGATGCATTAAAAAATGAATGAATAAATCGCAGTCGCAATCGCAAAGATGGTTGCCCATTCTATTTTCTGAAAAAATTTCTAAAATCGAAACACATTATAAAATTCAAAATGAAAACTAACATTTTTTAACATATACATATTTTGTTTATTATGTACAACCTTCTTTCCAAGAAATGTTATGTTTATGCTCTTGGTCACCCAACACAAAACCAGAGAACCACTTCAGGTAGATCATTACTGAAAGATTTTTTTCGGGCGTAAGAAGAGTGTAAGAACTGTCGATTATAAGGATAGATAACGGTTGTTCCTAGTCTTGGAGAAGTAGCAGTCGGGAGAGCATCTTCTCGGGAGCCTGTACCCTAAACAGTTGTTCTTTGGAAAAAACTGTCAGAATTGAACTTCCTTCTTACAAATGAAATACAAAAGGAATGGAGATGGTCTGTAATATCTGAAATGTTAGAAATATTCATTGATTGATTTGTTTTTACGAATTGTCAACCCTCTGTGGGTTAAATAAAGCTGAAAAATATTTAAATTGTAAGAAAAATTTTATTTTCTTGTATGTAAATATTGGATTAAAAATATTTTGAAATCAACAATGATTTCTTTGGATACGATTCTTACTAATTAACCCATAGCTGGGAGAAATAAAAATATTCATACCTCTCCTAAAGGTATTTGCATTGAAGTTTATGTAACGAACCCGACTGGAATTCAAATTCGACTCTTTGATTTCTCATTCCGAACTGCTATACACTGCAGTCAGTTCGAACTAAAGAATGTAGTGCGTCAGAATGTTTGACATAGAAACAGCGATAGAGTAGCCAGAGGTTATTGCGTCTGTGGAAAAATGGGTTTGTACGGTTGGAAATGATTCATCACCTACAAAGCCGCGTAAACGCCTTTTGATCTCTATTAAAGGTGGGATGAGAAGAACGGGTAGCTCTAACTTAAAAATGGCAGCAATTCTCCAGTTTAGGTTTTACCTAATTCTTATCACGTTTTGTGAAGTACTTCTTTTTCGGACTACTTGAAGAATATTTAATTACTATGCTTTCAATTCACTATTTCGCTCGGTATTAATCATCAATCATCTTGCTCTGATAACCAGATTTTTCGTTTCATCTCATTACTCTTTACTTATTCTTGTAAAGAAATGGAAGTCAGCGTCACGCACCACTTACGATTGAGTTCATTACTACCTAAAAACTATCAACATTACAGTTACTACCTACAGTCACTAGTTACATTATAGTTTCACGGTCAAGGTGAAACACATTTAAAACGAATATATTCACTTAGCCCCTGTAAGTCTTAAATACGACAAGGAAAACATAAGAAAATCCAGAAATAGTCCCACCTTAAAATTATACCAAACATATTAAAGCTACAACAGAGAATGTGCAAGCTATACTGGGTGTAACAGCAAAATTGTCCAACTCATGTAACAGCATAATTATCCATCCCACAAAATATTTAATATCCAATAAACAACTACACTAATTGAGTTTCTTTTCGCCAGGTTTTTAGATAAGACTTTTAGCCATATTGACATCATTTTTCCTAAGAATCACCGAAAAACCTTTTGAGATATTCATTTAGAAAGAGAACGGGTTAAATCCTTTGTGTCAGAGCCACCGTCTTCATAAATGAGCAATGGTGAGAGGGAAAAGATCATTCAGGCCTTCAGTAATGGTACCGACATTTATGCTCTGGCTTCCATCTTCAAAGTTCATTCAAGAACCATCAAGCGAACGGTAAATAAGTTTTAAAAAGTGGGGACAGTAGAGAGAAAAACTGAATCAGGAGGTCACAAGATAGACCTAAAGAGTTTAATTAGAAAAAATCCCACTTAATCTATAAGACATTTGTCACATGAAAGAGGAGTTTCAGTACGACAGTCCAAGAAACAGTGAAAGAAGATTTGAAAATGAAATCTTATGTGAAACGTGTGAGGCACTTTGTTACGCTAGGACAGAAAGTTAGATGGTTAGAGAGAGTGAAGATCATCTTGAATAAGTTGGAAAATGATCCTGGAATCATACCTATTATAAAACCCAGGTTGTGTGTGTGTGTGTGTGTGTGTGTGTGTGTGTGTGTGTGTGTGTGTGTGTGTGTGTCTGTTCGTTTATATATTGGATCAGATTTCCTACATTTTTCAACCGATTTCAACAAAACTTCACAGGACTACGTAAAATTACATTGCGGTGTTTCTGACTGCACCAAAATTGGAAAAACACAATTGTTTTTGCACAAAATCAATTTGAAAACATGATTAAGAGACATCGCTGTCGCGAGAATGGAAGGGGGACAACTCATATCGAGTTGTACTTATTATAAAACCCAGGTTGTTTGTGTGTGTGTGTCTGTGTTCGTTTATATATGGGATCGGATTTCCTACATTTTTCAACTGATTTCAACAAAACTTCACTTTTTTTGGCAGGTAGTGTTTCTTATTGTCTTGCACACTTTTTTCTTTATTTTTACATTCAGAATGCTTTAAAAATTCCATTTACAAGACAATTGTTTATGATAAAATTCTATTCAATCGATAGACCCATAACGATTGAAAACAATGTTTTTGTTTGAGTCTGGGTTTGACCAATTCTTAAAAAAACAAAAAAAAAAAAAAAAATAATAATTAAGACATGCGTGTCCGTCAACCTTAAATAATAATCTTTGTCAATTTTATTTTTCAGTCTTTATGATGGTCGATACTTGATCTATCTCTTACTGTTACATCCCCGGGCAACGCCGGGCTCTACTGCTAGTAATATATATATTTGCTTAGTAGCAAACCACCATCAATACCTTCTTGTTCTATCGGCGAGAAGTAAAATCCACACAAACAGCTTCTTCCCATAAACCACTGCCCTGTATAATCGACTCCTAACAAAATATTTCCCCGATCACTATAATCTCAGCCCGTTGAAATCTACAGTTAAACATTATCTTACCCTCCGATCCGTATAAGCTAACCTTTTTAACATAACCCTCAAACTCGAATAACCTGCGGGCTTTGTACAAGGTGAAACTTACTGTAAAAACAAAAAAATTCCTTTAACCGGGTCCACTAGCAAGAACTCTGCTAACAATGGGGTTAGAGCACCAAGACTTTGAAAAATTTACTTTAGGTGCTGGGGTAGTGAAAAATCTGTCAACAACGAAAACAAGCATTGGCAAGAAAGTCTCAGATGGTAGTTGAAAATGAACAATAGAATGGAAATGTCAAAGGAGGGAAAAGGGATAAGAAAGCACCTGTCAGCAAAGCACTGAAGGAATCAAAGATTGTGAATCAGGCGCATGTGAGTGGGTCTGCATTTATGGTTGTGATGCGTATGAAAACTCTCGGAGTTTGGAGCAGTGGATCCAGTATTCGGGTTGCGGAAACTGAGATTATGAGGAACGGACTGACTTTGGTTTGACAAACCTGGTTTTTATTTGGAAGTGGTTCAAGAAAATGAATGAGTAGATTCAGTTTAGTAGATATATATATTTATAGATTGGTATCGGTTACCAACTAGATATTTATGCAGATGACAGAACCATTTACTCATGTCTTAGTAGCAAATCTGACTAACCAGACAAAGTAAACTTGTAGGATTTTTAGGTGTCCTGATATTATAGGGCATTGAGGAATGGACGAAATCATTTCATCGACTCCCTGTTTCTTTGACTGGTTGTCTCTCGATGTTTCACACTTCACTGATACATAAATTTTAGAATTATTTCTTGATTTCTGATTGTTTTATTCACATACATTTAGGAATGACAGCATTTTGGCCCCTTTATTTATTTCTTTTTTTTTTCTTATCTTTTTGTTTGCATTTCTTTATGGCAAACCGTTTTCTATTTTTTGTTTAAATAGTGAAGTTTTTCTATCACTACACACACATTAACAATTATTCAGTTCAGTTATGTGCTATGCGTGATACATGCTTAGGCGATCATGTATCTTTCGATATCTTGACGAGGCAGATTTTTCCCGCAGTAAGTTTCTATTTCTTTCTGCGGTAGAGCAAGACGAGAACCAGTTTTTTTTATAGATTACGCAAATGCGTTCGACAAAATGCGCCACAAAGAACTACTGGACATGCTCAGTAACCTTAACATATTTAGAAACGATATTAGAATAA